ATGTTTTAACAACTTGTCTTCTGTTTGTTTTCATATCCTGTACATGTTTGAACAACTTGTCTTCTGTTTTATTCAGATCTTCTACATGTTTTAACAACTTGTCTTCTGTTTGTTTTCATATCCTGTACATGTTTGAACAACTTGTCTTCTGTTTTATTCAGATCTTCTACATGTTTTAACAACTTGTCTTCTGTTTGTTTTCATATCCTGTACATGTTTTAACGTATTATCTTCTGTTTGTATTTATGTGGTTTACAAGACATAACAATTTGTTTTGTGTTTTGTCTTAAGATCCTCTACATGTTTTAACAACTTGTCTTCTGTTTGTTTTCATATCCTGTACATGTTTTAACGTATTATCTTCTGTTTGTATTTATGTGGTTTACAAGACATAACAATTTATTTTGTGATTTGTCTTCAGATCCTCTACTTATTTTATCAAGTTATCTTCTACTTGTCTTCAGATCCTCACCTCTTACTGGCAGGACTTTCCTGCTGTGACAATTTGCCCTCTAAACCCCATCAAGAGGACAGCGGTAAAACAAAATCATCTGATCGGTCTGGACATTGAAGATATTCTTGAAAAATGCAGAATGGATGAGTAAGTTATCTAAACTTAAATTCTCTCGGGGATGTTTTGTTAAAACGAAGAAATTTCTTAGTTAGGTTTTTAAACTGTGCAAATTTATTTAACGATAATGTTGTAGAATAAAAAAGCAACAGAAGACTTATCCTTTAAATGAGTAAGTTATTTAAACTTAAATTCTCTCGGGGATGTTTTGTTAAAACGAAGAAATTTCTTAGTTAGGTTTTTAAACTATGCAAATTTATTTAACGATAATGCTGTAGAAAAAAAAAAGCAACACAAGACTTATCCTTTAAATTTTACACAAAAATAGGAATGGTTGAAAGGAAGTTTACATTATGATAGTCCGTCTGTCCCTCAAACAAATAGCCCATCGAGTTCTCAAACACGCATATAACTTATAAAGTGTATACGCTATTTCTGTAATCAGTTACTATTATATATATAACCTGGCCTCAGACGTTAAACTATCGTATTGACATTAATTCATCGTTGTTATGCTACTTTATTTACGTCATATTTTAAACTTTATCGAATTAACGTTAATTCATCGTTCTTATGCTACTTTATTACGTCATATTTTAAACTTTATCGAATTAACGTTAATTCATCGTTCTTATGCTACTTTATTACGTCATATTTTAAACTTTATCGAATAAACGTTAATTCATCGTTCTTATGCTACTTTATTACGTCATATTTTAAACTTTATCAAATAAACGTTAATTCATCGTTCTTATGCTACTTTATTACGTCATATTTTAAACTTTATCGAATTAACGTTAATTCATCGTTCTTTTGCTACTTTATTACGTCATATTTTAAACTTTATCGAATTAACGTTAATTCATCGTTCTTTTGCTACTTTATTACGTCATATTTTAAACTTTATCGAATTAACGTTAATTCATCGTTCTTTTGCTACTTTATTACGTCATATTTTAAACTTTATCGAATTAACGTTAATTCATCGTTCTTATGCTACTTTATTACGTCATATTTTAAACTTTATCGAATTAACGTTAATTCATCTTTGTTATTCTCCTTTATTACGTCATATTTTAAGTACACCTATATTATGATGAAATTCATATTTCTTCTGTCGATGGTTTAGTCATCAGCTACTTGTTGGTATCAGCTTTATAGTCATCAATTACTTGTTGGTGTCAGCTTTATAGTCATCAGTTGCTTGTAGGTGTCAGCTTTATAGTCATCAGTTACTTGTTGGTGTCAGCTTTATAGTCATCAGTTGCTTGTAGATGTCAGCTTTATAGTCATCAGTTACTTGTTGGTATCAGCTTTATAGTCATCAGTTGCTTTTAGATGTCAGCTTTATAGTCATCAGTTGCTTGTAGGTGTCAGCTTTATAATCATCAGTTACTTGTTGGTGTCAGCTTTATAGTCATAAATTACTTGTTGGTGTCAGCTTTATAGTCATCAGTTACTTGTTGGTGTCAGCTTTATAATTGTATTTGACCTTCACCGTATGTTTTAAAACTTACTTCTGGAATGAGTCTCGTGTAGTAAGATTGTTTTTAGTGAAGTATAGAATTTTTCGTTTCAACTATCTAGGTAAGACATATTTATATAAGATGGTTAAATGTTACGTGTCCCAAATAACTAGTACTAATACAGTTTAGAAGATTGTCACACTTGTAATGTTCAGTGCCCTCTGCTTATTGATACTTTATTTACTCTAGGCTTTCAGAGAACGACCAATCCCACAGCTGCATGGAAGAAATTTCTTGTATATGGAACGATTTTGAAAATCAGTGCCAGTGTTCAGAAGATCTCTGTGATTCCGTGAAATGCGAGCGAGATATCGACTTGAACCAATGTTACTGTGACTGGAGCGTGTGTATAGAACAAACAAATTCGAGTTACGATTGCAAATTCGAAGGGGATGACTGTATTTGCAGCGACGGTAATAATCCCTATGATCCAACACAAGAAGAGGGTGAAATTGAAGGAGGGAGTGATTACATGCTGCAACATGATGAATTTCAATATGATGATGTAATAGTTTTGAACTATGACCACGACATCGAGCTAAATGCTAGCAAAGTGTTAGACATGATTAACAAGTCAAAAACGTATGACCTCTCTGACTGGAGTATGATTCTCACACCTGATATGGAACAAATACGGCAGTACGGATATTCATTTCGTGATTTGTTTATTTCTTGTAGTTTCAACGGACGTGATTGCTTGACAAAAAAGTAAGTTATGGATTACTAAAGATATATTAATATTTATATATTTTTAATAAACTGCCTCAACAGAACGAAAGTTGTGGATTACTAAAGATATATTAATATTGATATATGTTTAATAAACTGCCTCAACACAACGAAAGTTATGGATTACTAAAGGTATATTAACATTTATATATTTTAAATAAACTGCCTCAACAGAACGAAAGTTATGGATTACTAAAGGTATATCATTATTTACTAGTTGGAATACCCGTCCACTGGATGGAAGTTATGAAAAGTTATCATTAATGAAAGGTTACTTTAGGACGTGAAAAGTTACTTCCATTATGTGTAATTGTAAAAAACGCCCATAAAAACTGCAAAACACAAAATGTGAAACCGCAAGTTTGCATGTATCACCGCATGGACCCAACAAAGCTTCATGCCAACTTTGGTGAAGATCCATCAAAAAGGGGCGAAGTAGTGGTAAAAAACGCAAAAAATGGAGATAAAAACCGCAAAAGATAAAACTGAAAATTTGAATGTATCTCTTCATGGACCAAATGAACCTCTATACCAAATTTGGTAAAGATCCATCTACAGGGGGCGAAATAATGGTAAAAAACGTAAAAACAGCAAAATGCAAAACTGAAAATTTCTTTTTCTGAAAAGCTTCTTCGGGATAAAGTAAATCTTAACGACTTTTTTTTTTTATAGTGAAATTGACTTAATATAAGAAATGTCACGCTATAGTGCTATTGTTTATCATTTCATATATCAAACAACAAATACGACTTATGTTTATTTATTTCAGGAATTTCTATGAATTCATTGATCCTGAATTTGGTAAATGTTTTTCCTTCAATCATGATAAAAGTTCCAACGGAGGAAAAGTAAAAACAGCTTTTTTTGGAAGTGGCTCAGGTACGTTTTACTGTGTTCAGGAAGTTCACAGTCTTTGCCATTTAGTTCGATAAAATTGTAGCGACTAAATATCAGTCGTTGTTAGCTGAATAGTTCACATGAACATCTACATCTGAATACATTCTAATTGTTAACTTCTTCTGAATACATGCTAATTGTTAACTTTTTCTGAATATATTCTAATTGTTATCTTTTTTCTGAATACATTCTAATTGTTAACTTCTTCTGAATACATTCTAATTGTTAACTTCTTCTGAATATATTCTAATTGTTATCTTTTTCTGAATACATTCTAATTGTTAACTTCTTCTGAATACATTCTAATTGCTAACTTCTTCTGAATACATTCTAATTGTTAACTTTTTCTGAATACATTCTAATTGTTAACTTCTTCTGAATACATTCTAATTGTTAACTTCTTCTGAATATATTCTAATTGTTATCTTTTTCTGAATACATTCTAATTGTTAACTTCTTCTGAATACATTAAAATTGTTAACTTCTTCTGAATATAGTCTAATTGTTATCTTTTTCTGAATACATTCTAATTGTTATCTTTTTTCTGAATATATTATAATTGTTAACTTTTTTATTCTACGTTTTGTCTTCTAATCTGCTGCCCTCTTGAGGAAAGTCCTATGAAGGACTTTTCTGTGAAGAAACAAATATAACCAACAAAAGTTAGAATTCATTGACACTCATTTAATAGTGATCTGTCTGTAACAGTTCATCATACTAGAGAAGAGCATACAACAGGGTGAAACATATGATATAGAAACACTTAAGAAGCAAGGAAACTTTTGTTTGTGCGGTATGAAACATATGATATAGAAACACTTAAGTAACAAGGTAACAACTTTGATCAAAGAGCAGCGTTCTGTTTGTACGGTATGAAACATATGATATAGAAACACTTAAGTAGCAAGGTAATAACTTTGATCAATGAGCAGCGTTCTGTTTGAACGGTATGAAACATATGATATAGAAACACTTAAGTAGCAAGGTAATAACTTTGATCAAAGAGCAGCGTTCTGTTTGTACGGTTTTGGTAATGTTGATCATTCTGTACGATCCGTAAAGCGAAATATCAATAATAAATGATAACCTAGTCACTCTAGAAACAAAGCTTGAATCCGTTGAAATAGATAGTTGGTTCAAGTCGAGTCGATAACACATCTGACTTTCTATCAAGGAGACCCACGATCGAATCCTATCAACTACCCAAATAGAAATAGTCCTTCTCAGGACTTCCCCGAAAACAGCAATAGATTAGTAGTCATAACTTAGAGTAAAACTAGTTTGCAATTAGTAGTAGTAATAACAAGACTAATTAATAATTAGGCTTAGACGATCGTATTGACTACTAACTTTACAAACATATTCAGACAATGAAACACTAACACTTGATGCTTACATACAGAGATTGTCACCACTTAGGTACAGCTTTATAGGGTTTAATAAAGTATACTAATGAAACTGACAAGACTATATTACAAATATTTAATTATCTATAGCTGCTATATTACATGCTATGTTTTATTAAAACTAACAAACCTTAGCTAAATTTACGTGGTCTCATGACATTCCAACAAACAAGTAAATAAAACACATTTCGGGTTTATACTGGTATATTTTTAGAACAGACAGCAAATAGTAGAGTCTGTATAGACATAGAGAGAGTTTGATTTGTATTTATATTTACTGTTTAACTTATGTTTTTCTGTTCAGGGTCATGAGAGATGGTGGTGTATAAACAGTTTGGTTTATTTACTGTTTAACTTATATTTTTCTGTTCAGGGTCATGAGAGATGGTGGTGTATAAACAGTTTGGTTTATTTACCTGTTTAACTTATGTTTTTCTGTTCAGGGTCATGAGAGATGGTGGTGTATAAACAGTTTGGTTTATTTACTGTTTAACTTATGTTTTTCTGTTCAGGGTCATGAGAGATGGTGGTGTATAAACAGTTTGGTTTATTTACTGTTTAACTTATGTATTTCTGTTCAGGGTTACGCCTCGTCTTGAAAGGAAACTACTCAGAATACATCAACTTATACAGTCGACAGCTTGGAATACGGGTGGCATTTCACGAGCCAGACATTACTCCTGTAATGTCACACACTGGCTTCAACATAAAGTATAATGACCAAACTGACATCGCTTTGAAACTGATTGACATCCATAGGATTCAGGAGCCATGGGGAAAATGTAGAATCGACTATTCCGACATGGAATTTCAATTGAGTCAGCAACGGTACACGCAACAAGTGTGTCTCTACTAGCTTTCAATATGGAGGAAATCATGAAAATTTAACCCTAATTTTGTAGTTATAAGTTGTGGGTAATCATAATTAAAGTAGAGGCAATAGATAAAAAGAAGTGTAGACTGGGGAAAATGGCAGCAGGATTTCAGGAGGAGCTTAAGCTTTTACATGCAAGGGATAAATCAGCTAATAATGACTTCCAGGAAGTTAGAAAGAGTACTGTTAGGGTTGAAAGTAATGAATTTAGTTATAATGAGCCTATTCTGTTGAGCAACAAATTTCAGCCAGAGAAGGATGTGTATGATAAGGAGGTTATAGTTATAGGTGATTCCTTGACAAGGCATGTGGATAGGATAGTCTGTGGGGTAAATAGGGAGAAAAGAATCATA